GTTTTGGGGTTTTGGGGGTTAGGGGTTTTGGGGTTTTGGGGTTTGGGGGGTTTAGGGTTTAGGGTTTAGGGTTGCTTCAGGTTCTCCAAGAATCAAAGTGCTCAATTTTCTTGGGCCCTTATAACCCTAAGGGTCCATCTACCTAATCACCATATTAGTACTCTCCCAAATATTCACCTAGATAACTACTATCCGCAACCATGTCTTAGCGTGTCTGAAGCTGCTCGGCAGATCTGTCCAGAAAATGGCCTTAAGACCTGCGTTCCGAAACCTTCAACCCTGCAAAACCCCATACAAATAACAAATAAACACACCTTTTAAGACTCAGTAGATTCCCCGAGGGACGTCGGTCCTTCACCGGCCAGCGTGCGGGCTTTGGCAAGCCCGGGAAAAGCTGCGCTGCAGCAGACAGTCCACCTTGGGAACATGACTGCAAGGTTCCTCTAGGGGCTCCTCCTTTAAGGGTAGTATACCCATAGGCCCCATAGTAGTTCCTTTTAGGATTCCCTGGTAGTAGCCCGCTGGCGCTCTCCGGCATCTTCTGGCTCTGCGCTCGCCTAGAAAACCCTGTGTAGACGGCCAAGACTCCAACTCCAAACCAAAGCCACTTGACAAACTACTTCAAAAACACAGTTCTGAGGTTTTGCAGGCTAGATTTCAAGGGTTTAGTGAATTAGGGGTTTGGGTTGAGGGCTCCGGGTTCATGTTGCTGCCCCGGTGCTCATCGTCAGGGCGTCGGAAAGTGAGAAGGGCTCTGTCGGCGCCGCGAGGCGGATGACCTGAAGAAGAAGCGGAACTGAGAAGGTTGGTCGGTGGTCTTATGAAGGTTCAGGTGGTCTTATGAAGGTTCAAGGTTTGGGGATTAGGTTTTATGCAGATCTAGCGGGTTTCAGGGGTTTGGGGTTTTCTAGTGTTTGGAGTCAAAAGTTCATGAAGGTTCGGGGTTTCTTGGGGTTTAGGGGGGGCTTCTGTGAGGCTTGTGTGAGAAGGATTCCCCGAACTTAAGAAGCCCTCCATCCTGAAGCGGAGCCTTAGTGCTACACTTACGCCTCACGCGTTGCACGTGCGAAATTGAAGTCCAAGACCCTGAAATGAATAATGTAGGGGCCTTAATAATTAGAATCAGGTTTGGGGGGTATGTTATACTACAAATACAATAAGGACCTCCCAAAATTGTATGGGTAATATAGCCCTATGCTAGTGGTGCGGGACGCGCTTTATGACAAGCCTTCAACCTCGTAACACCATGCTACAAGGCCATACAAAGGCCATGAAACACCTTACAGAGCAATAATGGTGACACCGCCATGAAAGCCAGTACCCCAGGGGGACTCAAGGTTAACCTTTGGACTTGTATAGGGTTTATATTACCCCACTGAGGGTTGAAGGATACCTGCGCGACTCCTACACCTAAATATAGAGGTGTTGATAGTTTCAATATGGTTTGGGGGGGTATATTCGGGGTATATTTTAAATACTATATTTACAATGAGGAAGCCCCAAAACCCTATTCTAATTATTTGGGCCCCTACTCTAAACCCTAAACCCGTAGAACCCTAAACCCTAAGCCCCGTAACCCTAAACCCTCAAGACCTTGAGACTAAACCCCCAAAGCCCAAACCTTAAACCCGAACCCCTAAACCCCTAAACCCCTAAACCCGTAAACCCCTAAACCCTAAACCCCAAAACCCTAAGCCCCTAAATCCTAAACCCTAAACTCGGGACCCTAAACCCTCAACCCCTAAACCCTAAATCTTCAACCCTACACCCTACACCCCTAAACCCTAAACCCTAAACCCTAAACCCTAAACCCTAAACCCTAAACCCTAAACCCTAAACCCTAAACCCTAAAGGCGGCCCCTGAGTCCCCGACGGGGCTCCCGGGCTGAAATGGGGGGCTGTCGATGCTCAGCGCCTTGGCGAGGAGCGTCTCCCCTTGAGCCCTCAATCTGTTTAGGGCCTGTGGGTTTGGGGTTTAGGCTTTAGGGTTTAGGGTTTAGGGGTTTAGGGTTTAAGGGTTTAGGGGGTTAGGGTTTAGGGTTTAGGGTTTCAGGTTTGGGATTGAGGGTTTAAGGCTTCAGGGTTTAGGGGTTTAGGGTTTAGGGGTTTAAGGTTTTAGGGTTTAGGGGGTTTAGGGGTTTAGGGGTTTAGGGCTTAGGGTTTAGGGTGTAGGGTTATGGAAGACTAAATTTTTACCTGCATTATTCCTTAGGGCTCCTGGTTATACTTATATACCCCCCAAAACCTTGTTTGAAGTATCAAGGCGCCAAACTCAATTTTAAGCAGCGTGCCTTACTGGTGGAGGACTTGTAGAAACTCACTCTATCTCTCTCTCTCTCTCGCTCCCTCTTTGGGCTTACGCTTTAGGCTTCAGTATTCAAGGCTTGGTTTACAAGCGGATTTACAATGTTCATTTCGCTTCGCCAAGGGCTTACGGGGACCTGCAGGGCTTTGTACGGCTTTACATTTAGGGCTTGTCGTCTTGAGGCTTGGATTTAGATCAAGGTTAGCGTCATGGTCTTGGAGTGTACGGCTCAGACAAAAGGCAGAGCTTCGGGGTTTAGAACATTGAGCCTTAAGGGTTTAGTTTGGTCTTAGGCAAGATATAATATTGGGGCTTCCGAAAATAGGGGACGCTTTGTAGTGTCTTAAATAGTAGGATCCTTATTTTAAGGGCCCCAAAATAAGGTACCCCTTACTCTCGGAAGCTTCTTTTTTTCAACAACGGAAGCATTTTCAACGAAGGACAAGCGGGACAACGAGTTGGCTTCGGGGTTCCTTCCCACTCATCTACTCTACTCGCGCATGACCGCGAAGTCATAGGGTCTAGGGATGTCTAGGGTTTAGGGCATCGCCCCGAGACCCTTGACAAAAGGGCAACTTGGAGTAGGGATTTGGGGTGCATACACCAGTATATTCACCACAAAGGAGCCGAAAGGAACCACATGAAAACACGAACCCCGATCATCAAGGCCTGTGTGCTATCTAAAAAACCTAAATCCTCGACTCAAAACCCTACACACCAATCACAAGCACGCGCGAGCCGTTGAGCCGTTGACCTCACGGCCGCCGAAGGCAAACGTCTCTACCTCGCCTGTGCAGATGCCGAGGAATCTTAGGGTTCAGGCTTAGGGTTTAAGGGTTTAGGGGTTATAGTTTAAGGGTTTGGGGTTTAGGGCTAAGGGTTTAGGGTCTTGGATCTAGAGTCCAGGCTTAAGGATAATAGGGTTTAGGTTTAGGGCTTTAATTATCAGGGATGATAGATTCGCGATGCGTGCATAGCCACACAGCAAGTCTATGACCAGTGGAAAAGGATGAACAAATCTATGTTACGACTCTCTTGCACCTCTGTCCGTCTGTCTGTCTGTCTGTCTGTCTGTGCCTGGCCGTCTGTCCGTCCGTCCGTCCGTCCGTCCGTCCGTCCGTCTGTCTTCTATCTATCTGTCTATCTGTCTATCTGTCCATCTGTCCATCTGTCGATCTGTCGATCTGTCGATCTGTCTATCGTCTAGCTAGCTAGCTAGATAGCTAGCTAGCTAGCTAGCTAGCTAGCTACCTAGCTACCTAGCTACCTAGCTACCTAGCTACCTAGCTACCTAGCTACCTAGCTACCTACCGACCTAGCTACCTAGCTACCTACCTAGCTACCTAGCTACCTACCTAGCTAGCTAGCTAGCTATCTAT